AGCCGTAGCGGACAAGCAGCAAACAAGCAGCAGCCAGGCAGCAGCAGTAGCAGCAGGCTTCAATGCGCACAAACCCAGGCTCCAAAGCACACACAGGTACCACTTCCTCTACTTGAAGTAAGAACACCAACGGCGCTCGCTTTGTGACAACCAGTTTGCAACCTAGTGGCGGCGTTATTGGATTTCTGGTGTGCACTATGTGTATGGAAAAGTCATCTTCTGAGCAAAAGTCTATCTGCTAAACACCAGCAGGACGCAACTTTGCATCGACTTCCAAAAATCTTTCCCCAAGCTGGGACGCACAATTTATCCAAACGCATCGACTTTCACATCTTGGAGTAGCGGCACGGTCCGGTTTCCAATACATGTTCTACGGAAATCTACGGAATCCACTTTTCTATCTTAGTTTGGGGTCTATTATATAGGTACTTCGGAAGAACCATGGTGGAAACCACCGAGCACAACCACGTTGGATGCATGAACTGGACCACTCGCACTGGACTACTCTTTGTTTCGATTCAGCTTCCAAGCAATACCTGGGAGGTCTGCCTTGCCTTTGGGGATCTGTCACCGCCACGGTCCTCCCCCGGCGCAGCACCCGGTCCCGGCCGCAAAGGCTTCCACACCGATGCCCACGTGCTGATTCTTCACCGCTCGGGGGAACTCTGTGAGCTTTTGGCCCTCCACCCATTCCTCAACGTGCTGCGTGGTGAACGATCCACCAAAATCCGCCTCAACATCCTCGACTTCGCAATTAGAGTCGATTAGTTATTTTGTGTTTTTGGTTGATATATGTTGATATCATTCCTGTTAGTCAGTTGGGTGGCCTTGTGTCAATGAACAAACGCACACACATACACAAACTATCCCAAAACTAATGTGAATCTTCCAAACCAACACCCAGAGTCGGTGGCCAAGACCCTTAGCGAGGTCAAAGGCCATTGTACCCTGGCGCCCGGTTCCAGCGCACGAACGGCACCGCCCGTGGTGAAAAGCGGGGACTTCGAGGGAACGTGGGGGGGATGGTGTGCAAGAGGAAACTGAGACCAACCATGACCAACCGACAAGCATGTGACATGTGATGACATGTGGTACGGTTTTGAACGCTACAACGAAACGAATTTCCTTCCAAAATAGCGACCCTGTGGCTGTTCTTTCAGCCAGCCCGACGCCCCCCGTGGCTCATATAAGTAGTCCGGTAAACCATGTTTGAGGCCGTTGTCGATCGAAAACCAGTCTTGGGAGGCCTACAACTAACCAAAGAACAAGATCAACGCCACATGGTAGCTGTAGCCTATGCTCCCTATCTTGTAACTCTTGCTAACATGGTGATGCCTGGTGGGTGGTTGGAAAACACGCGCGCGCGCACACACACACATACACACCGAAAGCAGTGCCTCGGGATCACCAAACCCTTCACAGAGCCACAAAGAGCGTGTCGCATGTCCTCCATACTTTGCGCCTCCTGGGCACAGGTTCTTTCATAGATCGGTCCAAAATGGTTCAAACTCCTTACACTGTACCCTACGAGTTCCAAAAGTGGATTGTGTCTTATTAGCTCCTGTTGGGTGAGTGATTTTGAGACTTCTCGACTCCTTTCACATCTAAGGCCTCCCCGGATTCTCGATGTTGGAATTACCCCCCCTACCCTTGGATGTCCAGTCCACGATCCACACCCTGCCGACATGGAAGTGGAGGGCATCCCCTGCTTCTAGAAGTCTTCATGTAGTCTTCCAAGGTGCCATGCCATCCACTTCTATGTGATGTGCTTGTGAGAGTGTATCCACAGAAGGCTTCGACCAAACCTCCAACAATCATGGAAGTGGACGGGGTGACCATTGGAAAAGCGATGTTCTTTGTCCACGAATCCCATGTTTGGAGGGAACTCTTCGACCGGAAACTCGCTGACTGGCTGATGAGTCGGTGTGTGAGAGTGTGTGTGTGTGTGTGTCGCTCTGACGCCTAGGCGGGTGTGGGTGACAACTTGGGAATGTGAAACATGCGGAGCTTGGATGGGAAGGTTGCCTCCAGTCCATGTTGCTCCCCAGAAATTGCCACACAGTTGCACAAACACTGACACTTGAAGGATGTTTGTCTTCCCGGATGGCATTGGTGTGTCCTTCTTGTAGTCCAGCTCGTCCCAAAGGGTCTTAGCCCAATCGTCCACAATCTGAACCTTGGGATCATCCAGCGTGAACGAGCCGTGCTGTCAGGGCAAAACTCCCAATGACATGCCGAAGCCCACACAAGGTGAGTCAGGATTTGCTGGCTATGTGACCTGGCGCCTGCTGATTTTGCATCTATATAAGTCTATATTATATATATATATATAATGAAACCCTCGACTTTTGCCAGGCAATTGACCTTCAACTGGTGCTAAAAGCCCAGAACGCTCGAGATGAACCACCACAACAAACATAAGGCTTCCAACAACTACCAAGGCCCCCTAAAAACATCCGAAGGCTAGGTGCCTATTTCAAGCCACTGAGAGGAGGGTCGGGTTCTCCAAGAAAATAGGTGCCATTCACCATCCCGACCGGTGGGTCCTTCAATTGATCGATCTCTTCGGGTGGTGTTGCGAAACCTGACCACGCGGACCGAGGCGGAGGACCGTCTTTTGGGATCGTCCCAACGTCTCGGGGTGTTCACACCATGCCTCCAAAAGGCCACGTGGGCGACCAATTCCTGGTCGCTGGTGGTATTTGAGCGGTAATTCTTGGCGGCAATTCTGACATATACTATAGATAGTCATAGAGTCATATAGCTATATATATATAGTATATAGTCATATAGCTAGTCACTGGTATTTTCGGAGACTGGTGGTAGTTGAAACGCTCTCCGGTGGCGCACCCACCTCACTCCAATTATCCAACCAAAGCCACTGGGTCGACACTTGCAGCCATGAAGTGCCGAACCAGCCAGCGGAGAACACGAGCCATGCCTTTCCTTGGCAGCTGGCGTGACAGAACTCATCTCGAACATCCCAAGCATACACAACGCACCAGCAAACGCTCTCCAAATCATTCCAACTATGCTCTCACTCTTGTTTCATCCTTTTTTCATTGATGCAACGTTGTGCTGCTGCATGGTGTTTGGCCCACCCCACAAGCATCAACCATCAGTTTGAGGCCAATAAATGGCGGCCGATGCCGCCCTAATGTGAAGCTGCCGCTGCCGAGCAGCAGTATGACCACATCGATGGCAAGGGCCCGATTCAATCCAGGACGTTGAACTTTCATGGCAAAGGTCTGACCATGCAACTGGATGCGATACCTCAGAGCGAAGCAAACAAAGGAACGAGGTAAGTGGAACAGCCCGAAGCAGATTCTGAAGACTCCACAAACAAAAACGAACTCAAATATATTCAAACATGCTCTTTTTCATCACTCACCTTGAGAAAAAGTCATCTTCTGGACTCCAATTCCACCAAGGCCACACCTGCCCCAGGCTGGCCGCGGCCACACAGCTCTCCGCCGTGACCCGCGCGGCTGCGGCCGCAGCGGCTGCGCCGCCCAGCTGGCATTCGACCAAGCGTCGGGCCTCGAGGTGGTCAAAGGGTGCGACCTGGCCACGGTGGTTGTGGAGGTCTGGTGGAAGCCAGTGCAAATGGATCAGGTCCCCATGTCATTCCATGTCCAGATTTACACTTGCCTAGGTGATGCCTAGGCTCCACTCTAGGCTGCCTAATTCCACGCGCTAAATCCATTTTGCTGGATGTTAGGTTAAATATATAAGTAGCATTTGGTCAAGCTGCCCAAGAAGTGTGGATGCCATAGGAACTTCAGAGAAAAGCAAACCTAAGTTCAGTGTTAGGGAGTGTGCTACCGCTGAGGGGAAGATTTGTGGCCAAGAATATCCAAGAATGTTGCAAGCTTTCTACCTGGACCCTCCAAGGGGTGCCCAATGGAAGCCTATAGGCAGTGTGGGTCCATTGGACACCTCTTAGGGTCCAGGTAGGTGCCACCGTTGATCGTCAAAAGTCGACATCGACCCTTGCCATCTGCTCACTTCAGCATCCCCAAACAGGCGCGACACCCCGTCGGAGCGTCTGCGCAAGCCCGAGCCAGGAAAACGACATATCATTTCAAAAAACAACAACACATAAAAGCACGGACTGAGCCGAACCCGCAGCGGCGTGGTCTTAGACCACGATGTTTGGGGTGCCAAACGGGCAGCCACGTCCCACCGGCACCTGGTCGCAAAGCTTCCGAAGCTCAGCGGCCACTGCTTGGCTCAAAATGTCTTCGCGACAGGCCGCTGCTTGGCCCAACTTCACGAAGGCGGGGCCCAGTGCCTTTCGGAAGAGAGAGGTCTGCCGATTTGGAAGGATAGACCTGCCAGGAAAGGTATATCAATGCTGATAATTCGAGTCAATGTGATAAGTGCAATTCCTGATTCACATGTTCAATTCAAAATTCTGGGAGATCACAACAAAATGACGCTTTGAAGCATTACGCTCCGGAAAACAAACCTGTGCCTGGAAAACACTTTTGCGCCAATTATATAAACATGTGTATGTCTACCGTTCGGTTACACTGGGGAAAGCGGTCTTGGGGTCTTTGATGGACCCCTGGCATACGTCACCGTAAACGTGGACCATGGATGCAATCACAAGGATTTTTCAATCGACCATCAGCCGGTCTAGTGAAATGGTTAACGTGGACCTTGCCTGGTCTAATTACGTTGGATGCTGAAAATGACATGTTAAAAAACAAAAACAAAAACACACATGGTACCTGAGCCATCAACGCACATGTTTTTTCCTACACGCTCCCCGGTGCGGACCCCTTTTGACGTAGCACCTGCAAGGGGTGGTATACTTCATCACACCAGGTTCCTAGGTTAACCTAACGGCAACGCTTACACGTTAAAGAATTATGAATATCCCTGGGAATCCCCAGCAATTATGCTAGCTTGTAACTGGTCTGTGGGGTGGTTCGTCCTACTTTTCCATTCCCCGGGAAACAGCGAGAGAGAGGTCCAAAGTACATTAACATAGCACTCCGGCAGCTAGGGTCTTGATATCATGTAGTTTTAACTTTACGTGCGAAAAATAGTGGTCTTTATGCGCAAAATAACAAAACAAAGCTAATGTGTTATATTTTTTCTGCTGTAGTACATAGGTGTGAGACATTCCAGGACAGTCATGCACCAAAGTGGCCTCCAAAACATGTTGCAAGCGACGGGTGTTCTCCACTGCTTGGTCGCTACCAGTGGCTTGCTGCCAAGCGATGCGAGCAGCGATAGGGAGCAACCTGGGAAACCCCGGAGGTGCGCGGACAAAAAAACAGTGGAAAAAAACACAACCATCTGAATCTGATTCTAGCTTTTAACTTGGTTGATTCTTGAGCGTAATAGCTTCTTGCCATGCTCTTTCAACAATTTGATACTTGACCTCTTTGCATTCCCTGTGTGTACAGCAATTGACCTATGTCAGGAGCTCCAAAGAAAATCCCCAGTCTGCACTGCACCGGATTCGACTACGGCTGACCTGGAGCGAGTTCCACAGGGCCGAAGCGGCCGAAACCGAGCCCGGACGGCTCCATATCGATTTCCCTCAAAACACAGAGGGGACTCGGTGGACCATACCACTGCGATTTCGCTCGTGGCGAAGGGTGCGAAGATGAGTTAAATGATTGTCTCCCAGAGTTCAGCTAATACATGTAGACTGTCGACTGTAGACTCTTGATTAATAGAACTTCTCCTGCGAACAGGTTTTTGCAATCCACATGAGGCGTTAGGGGACGCCCCCCATGGCCCGAGCTTGGCTCGGCGCCAAATAGATCATGGGGAAACAGTTACAGTTAACACCTCCCTGGGGCTGTAGCCCTCTGCCCCATCGTCCCTGACTCCATCGTCCCTGACGCCCTCGTCCCTCACACCACGCCTACACGGAAGATCCTAAACTTGGAGCCTCGAAACAACTCCCTGACAGAATCCATGGGAAGTGAACAATTGCCGTCTTTTTTGGTTTTCTTCCATGGAACATGACTTGGAGAGCACATCCTTCTACCATCCTCTACCCAGCTTCCAGAGCTTCTTATCCTCAACACCCAGCAGCTGCGCAGTCACTTGCAGCCGTCTCCGCCGCAAAGCTCCGCTGTGACGCTGCTCCACTGTGCGGCACGCGCCCGGCAACTCCGGCAAGTCCACCGCATCCGGCGCATCCAACGGCACGTCGTCCGGCGCCCCACGACGGGGCGGCGGGGATGACCTGGGGTGGAGCACGGTCCCTTAGGTCCTCCAACGATTTGGGGTTGAATACAGGAAGGTCCTGTTCTGAGCCGGGCGCAACATCGGCCAAGTTGTGCTAATTCAGCGGAACAAACACCCTTGGGCCACGGGTCAGAATTCGGCTCGAAGGCTGTTCGCCCCCCGCCTCGGCCAGCAAGAACGCCATACGGCAAGCCCCGTGAAGCAGCCATCTGTCATCTTGTGCCAACGCTGCAAAGCCGGGTTCAAATTTTAGACATGGGAGCTGCGTGTGCCCAAGTCAACAACTAAGCAACAGAATGCTACCAAAGAAGGGAGAAGTGGTAGAACCTGACTGCTCCTTAGCAAATACCTGCCACTTCTACCAGGGTCCAGGCGGGCAGTCCGTATTTCATCATCAACTCAACATGCACGGGGGCCATAGTTACTTCTGGCAATCTTTTGTTTCTTAAATCGCAGCACACACTCTTTGCCATGGATTTCAGCCCTCAACCCGACCCAATGCCGTAAACGCCGTAAACTGGAAGCGACTGATTGCCAGACCAAGAGTGGAAGTGCTTGGATGGATGATGTGGAGTCTTAGAACAACTGCCTTTGAAAATGCGTGGATGCTTTCTTTTGCCAGTTCAGGGACCCTACCATGAACGGCTTCGAAACGTGTCATCCAACGCACATGGCGTTCAGAGATGTGATGTCGCAACAGCAAAGCCCAGTTCGATTTCGTCCGAGTGCCCAGACTGAGAAAGGAGGCGTGGAGGAAGATTCGAGAACACCAGGCCACGCTGCCCTGAGTCGCTCGACGGTCGCAACCGTGCGAAGCAGGAACTGAGTGGTGCTCTTGTCCGTACTTGAAGACTTGCCCTAAGAATCCGGGTCCTCAAACAAGTAGGGTTTGGAGGGTCCGGACCCCTGCCATGGAGGGCCCAAGGATTCTTAGGTGTGACTCCTTAGACTAGATGGGGGGCGGCCCACATGCACTGAGGCTTCCCGCCGTCCCATAAAGCGGATCCCCTGGGCGACGCGTTCCGACGCGTTCCAACCGTGGTTCCGCAGCTTCGATGGATTGAAGCAATGCAGTCACCATGGTGAACCCAGTGCAGTTGGGATCATATAGGATCATTTCTGTAGCTAGACAAGGTGTTGGTAGGTGTTCCTTTATTCATCTGTTCGTGTCCAGTCACTGCGTCTTGGAGCTGTGCATGCTTGATCAAATGACACCCCGTCTTGGCCTGCTGCCAGTGTCAACCTTTCGATTGGTGCATGCTTGGTCTTTCCATCAGGCTTCAATACTCTGAATATGGAGCTGCTATTGTTGATAGCCGTGCTGGCCATCTACCGCATCGCCATTGTTCAAGGGGCCGGACCCAGCAAGGGGAAGCCTTCACTGCTCATGTGGACCTTGGCTGCGGTCTTACGGTCCGAGCCTGGAGCTACGAGTGAAACAAGTCCACTCGTTCTCGTCGGAGGCATCAACGGCGGCATCAACAATAGCATGAATGAACAACACCAACACCAACAGCACCAGCCGCAGCAGCAACAGCCAGTCTAGTGCGAAACATGTGGAATAAAACACTTCCTATATATATATATATATAAGGGTGCATGTTTAATTTGTTGTTTTTCCCGAAAGCATTGCGAAGGGTTCTTCCGGAAAATCCTTTGAACACTTACATTTCGACACTTACACTTACACACACACACTGGAAGAGCGAAAGCATCCAAGTGCGAAGTATGCCAGTGTCAAAGTATGCAAGTGTAAGTATGCAAGCATGATATGCAAGGGTGAGTATGCAAGCACGCAATGAGTATACAAGCATGCAATGAGTAGGCAAGTGTGAGTATGGAAAACTAGCACGGGAGATGTCCTAATGAAAAAACATTTCCCCACTTTATAAATTCTCTCTTAAAGGCGGAGTGCGGGACGAACAGCGTCAACCGAAAGTGCAACCCTCTGCGGAGATCGTGCGTGTCGAGTGCGCGAAATGCAGGCGAGAGTGCGATTCGCCGGCTGCGCGCGCAACCCTCTGCGGAGATCGTGCGTGTCGAGTGCGCGAAATGCAGGCGAGAGTGCGATTTGGTACGCAACTCTAGTACGCAGAGTAGCTGGGGAGCTGGAAGCTGAGAACTGGCGACGTGGTGGTGCGAGAGTAGTACGCGGAGTAGCTGGGGAGCGGGAAGATGAGAACTGGCGAGTGGGTAGTACAACTTGAGGGCGTGGAGTATCTGGGGAGCTGGGAGATGAGCACTGGCGACTGCGTAGTACAACTTTAGTACGCGGAGCAATCTGTGGAGCTGGAAGCTGAGAACTGGCGACTGCGTAGTACAACTTTAGTACGCGGAGTAATCTGTGGAGCTGGAAGCTGAGAAGTGGCGACTTGGTAGTACAACTTTAGTACGCAGAGTAGCTGGGGAGTGGGAAGATGAGAACTGGTGAGTGGGTAGTAGCTGAGAACTGGCGACTTTGTAGTACAACTTAAGTAGTACGCGGAGTAGCGGAGGAGCTGGAAGATGAGAAGTGGTTGCGCCTACATCCACGCGAGGACCATCGCGGAGTGCCACGCGAGGAGCGCCAGCCATCTTTTCCCAAGAGGGCGGCGTTTGCGCTGGTCACTGCGGCTGAAAACTTACCCGGACGAGACCTCGGAGCCCAGCCTTGCGAACTTTGCGGGCAGTGGACGCATTCCTGGTGCGAGGCTTGTTCGCTGCGGCCGTGCAACGCCGTTTGTACCCAGTGCGATGCAGATCACCTTATCTGTCGACCATGCCAGCGTCTTGGGCGGTCGTGGGAAGCGGCCCGCGCTGCTAATACCACGCCGCCCGATTGCATCGAACTCAGCGGCTACCACGACCAGACTGGCAGGTTTGTTCAGGTGGACCCCCCGCTCCGCATCCCACTGGCGGACGTGTCACCAGATGGCACCCTCGACGCCGCCCAGTTGGCCCAGATGGTCGCCGCCGTGTCTCCGGAGCGGACAACGCAGTGAGAGTCTCCCCGACGCAGAGTGTCACCTAGATGTTCACATGGTAACTGCATGTCTCATACCACGAATTCTTCTTGCGGAAGCACGACAAGTATAGACATAGTGTCGGGGAGTCTCTGCCCTATACAAGGGCTAGTCGCGAGCTGAACGACCAGAGGATACGAAAACATGCGCAGTGCCTGCTATGTGTCACCTCGTGCTACTTTGTTGCATGTTTCTGTAGGAGAGGCGATTGGAAAATGACCAGCATGGTGGTTCTCAATTACATCTAGAGCGAAGCACATGTCACCCTCAGAGCGCCTGTGCCAACAGACTGTGCGTTTTCCGTGACTGACCTTTCGGGGCTCACAGTGACATTGCAGAAGTCTCCATACAACTTGGGCCAACTACAACAATATCAACTCAACAGCAATGAAGAATATACTAGCAAGAAGTTTGAACGCGCCCCACAAGCTTTTGCAATATTCATTTCCCACATAAACCTTTACCAGGCAAACCGAGCCTTCTTATGGCTATGCATGCGCTATTTACTACTTTACAGCCCACTAGCTCGTAGGTCTCCCTCTTTGCCCAGCCATCATGCCAGGGAACCTTGGCATTGTTGACGACCACTTCTTGTATACCAACCTGGATAACCAGAGACAGGTGTGCCTCTGTTGGTCCTATGGAAGCAGGACATACCATGACGACCAGCCAGAGCTCATCCATGAAAGATGGCCAAGCCAGTCCATAGCAACCAGATGCTGGGTTGCCCATGGAGAAACCTGGCAGTTTTGGCGAGTGGTCCAGTGGTCCAGTGGATGGGAAGACTGGGTTAGGAACAACAGCCGCAACTTCACAGATGCCTACACCATCCAGATCTGCTTCGGGTGGACGCGCTAGACCCAACCAACTGTGTGTCTCATGCCGTGACTTCTTCCTGATAAATTCTGTGTGGACGTCGTTCTGCGGAAGCACTACGCTATCCTTGCTGTGTACAAAGACTAGTCGCGAGCCGAACAACGAGAGTACGCTAAAACATCTACAGTGCCTGCTGTGTGTCACTTCACGCTACTTTGTCACGTTTTTCTCTGAAACAGTCAATTTCTCTGAGACAGTCAATTACTCAATGACAAGCATAGTGGTTGGTTATACTCAAATATCTACTCAACAGCAGTGACGAATATACTTGGAAGAAGGTTCACGCAACCCACAAGCTTTTGCAATCGCACATGAACCAGAGCCTTCTTATTCCTCTTTGCCCAGCCATCATGCCAGGGAACCTTGGCATTGTTGACGACCACTTCTTCAGCGTCAACCAGGATGACCAGAGGCAGATGATTCACACGTTCTTGTTCAGTCTGCAGTGCGGCATGTGGTGATGCAATTGTTGAGATGGCAAAGCCAGCACGCTGGCTAGCATCATAGTCGAAGTGGGTAAGCCAGCACGCTGGCTGCCATTGTCCAGATGGCAAAG